ACCTAAGAATTTATTGGTGAAAGATCATAACTTTATCTTCTTTTCATCTTATTCTCTTGAGTTTGTTGAGTAATCTTGATCTTTAATCATGTTTAACCAACAATCAATCATTGTTGTTAGATTAATCATGTGTATTAGTGAGTAGATCCATTTTAGATTCATGGGATAGGTTGGTAAGGGTTATTAAGTGTAGATCTAAAGTGTTAGGTGTTAGATCCTTGTGTTTCCTTGTTAGATGAGTGATTTTAATGCTTGATTAATGTTGGCCTCTTTAGCCATGATCATTAGACATTTTCTGCCCACAAGGTGTTTGTTTAAATGTCTGAACCAACTCATCTAGCTTTAATACTACCTAGCCAATGATCATTTGTATCTAGGAAGTTTTAGATAGGTATTAAACTTAATCTTAATGATTGCTTGAATTAGTTAAGCCAATGACCATTTGTGTTTGATTAATGAAAGCAAATGAGCATTTGCCTAGACCTAGGACTTGCTTAGCATTGTTGTTTAGACTTAAGGAAACACTTTGATTGAAAACTTGTCATTTTTAGATTGAACTTGATCACCTAAACCAAATACCTATTCCCATGAGTCTAGCCTTCACTAATTGAGAGAAAGTTTGTTACTTGTTGCATTTTAAATTGTTCTTGAATCATTTGACATTCTCTAAACTGATTGCATTTAGATTAAGCAATGTCTGGCATCTTTTGATAGTTTGTCATGTGCAAAAACTTGAGAGTATTAGGGGTGACATTGGTTGTTCTTATCTCAGGCTAGATATAAGACCTCTTGAGAGCTAGCAATTAGGATGAGAAGTTTGGTATTGTGATGCAAAAGAGTTTATCTTGGGTCTTGGGGTGTTAGATGAGTGAAAAGAATGAACCAAAGAAAGAAAAAGAAAAGGAAAACCACTAGGGATCAAAAGAAAAAGAAAGAAAAGCTCTAGAAAGTTCAAATAAGAAACCCCTTAGAGTAAAGAAAAAAAAGAAAGAAAGTAGTCTAGAAAAGACTTTGGGGAAGACATAAGAAAAATAAGAGTCGAAATTAAGTAAAAAGTGAAAGAAAAAGTCCCTAGTTGGTTCAAAATAAAAGAAAAGACAAAGAGTTCATTGGGTGAGTGAAATAAGAGAGTAATCTTAATGTTTTTAGGGATGAATGGGTTTGAGATGTACACCAAGGAAAATGGTAGAGTTTAAAGATGCTAAGAAAATGGTAGATTGATAAGAACAAGCAATGTATGCATAAGTTGCTCCTTTTCTTAGATAGATTTTGCATAATGATCAAGCTCCTATTCTTGAGTGTAGGCCACTAAAAAGAAATGTATTGAAACCCCTCTTCTATTATCATTTAGCCATTTCACTTACCAGGCCAAATGATTGAGATCAAGTTTCCATTTGCAAGAACTCACCTTATTAGCTTATGCTTAATTGAATGTGAGGGTTGGTTGAAGAGATTTGTTGATTGGTGATCCACAACTTGTCTAAAAGAAAGAGTCTTGATAGGCCTTGTGAAGATAATTGAGATTGCTTATGCTATAGGTTATGTTTATCTAGGATGTAGCGTTGAACAAAAGAAGTGTATCCTTTGGTTTTGAGTTCCCATTTTCCTTCTCTCTTCCTTTGATCTTAATTAATTACTTGAGGACAAGTAAAGGAGTAGTTTGGGGGAGTTGATATGAGTCATATTTGCATAGTTTTAGCATTTCATTTTGTACATAAATCATCATATAGATTTAGGTTTAGACATCTTTAGGTCCATATTGCATTCAAATGTCCTTATTAGGTATTGGAATGTGCCATGGAGTGATTGGAGGTGTTTGGGAGCATTGTGATCCAAAAGAGGGTGAAAGATGAACATGGATGGAGACCTTAAATATATCTTTTGAAGCTCATCTTTTGGGAAGACATGGGAAATTGAGTTATTTTTTTAAGGGAAGTGGTTTCAAGTCATTTGGAGTTGTATTGAAGAAGTTATGATCTATCTACTGAAGACATATCAACCCTGTAGCGATCAGAGCTGTAGCGATCAGAGCTGTAGCGACCATAGCATGTCGCTAGGAAGAGGCTGAGAGCCTGTAGCGACCAGAGCATGTCGCTACGAGAAAATTCCCTGAAAATTCTATGTGCTGTAGCGACCAGAGCATGTCGCTACGAGAAAATTCCCTGAAAATTCTATGTGCTGTAGCGACCAGAGCATGTCGCTACGAGCATGTCGCTATAGACGAAAAGACCCAACTTTTATGTTCGTTTTTAGGCTTCTATAAATACATGGGAGACCTAAGTTTAGAACTTATCTTCTTTTCTCTCAAAAACACATTGAAAAGTTGAATCATTGATTAATATAATCTTTGTTTCTTGAGTAATTTGAGTCTAACTCTTCTTCTAATCATGATTAGTCTTTTATCCATCATGGGTTTAAGATTAAATATGAAGATTAGTGAGTAGACTCTCCTTGAGCTTATGGGTTAGGGTGATTAGGGTGATTAAGTGATGATCTAGGATGATTAGTGTTAGATCCTTCTTGTCCTATGCTTATTACTTATTCTCAATGCTACATTAGACCTAATCTTTCTAAACTAGATCATTAGGCATTTCATGCCCACAAGGTGTATGATGAAATGCCTGAGCCAAAGTAATAATGCTTTTTGCTTGCTTAACCAAGGACACTTCATGTTAGGAAGGCTTAGATGGTTAGTGGACTTGTTCTCAATGATTGCTTGATTGATTTAGGCCAATGACCATTTGTGTTTAGAGATTGATAGCAAATGAACTTTTACCTTGACCAAGGACTAGCTTAGGATTGTGTCTATACCTATAGGATATGAATGATCGCTTGAAACCTCACCCTAGATAGTAACTTGATCACCCAAAGTCAATACCTTTACCGATAGGTTCTCTTATCTCCTTGAAACAAAACTTTAGTTACTCTTGTTTACTTACATTGCTAGTACTAGTTACTTATAAAACAAACTCTCATTGATTGCATTTAGATTAAGCAATGTCTTGCATTCTCTTTGTTCAATAGCTCTTAGGATTGGATTGACACTCTACTTACCTTACTACATTGATTTGCTCTAAGGCTTAAAAACCCTTATCAATTTGCAAAATATCAAAGAGAAAAAAGACACCTTACTGTGCACAAACCAAATGACTCTATTATCCTTTTCTGAATTCCCCTTTCACCTGACCAACTCCACCAGGCAGTGCGCATGTTTCGACGGAAGAGTGAGAGATACACAAGATATTCCATATCTTTATTGTCAGTAACTTTCTTTCTCTTTCATCTATTATCTGTGTTTATCTTTCTTTCTCACCTAGAAACGATTTGTTCTTGAAAAATTTATAAAACTTGGAATTGGAACTTCGAAGATTGATGAAGTTTTTTTCTTTGTTGCAATTCTCTTTTGGATTTGACAGAGATGATACATCACTTAATTATTTTTCAATTTGAATAAAGCTTTGACAACGTATTAGACATGAATTATAGTTGCGTTATCTGGAAACAAATTTCTTAACTTATTATTTATTTAATGTTTACTTCATTAAAATTTTAGTATCTGGTTAATCAATATATAGATATGCGACGTATATTTGTTAGCCGGCTATACTATTCTTTTTTTATTTAGAATGCCATATTTTCGTACCCACATAGGTGTTTAAAAAATATTTTTCAATTTAAATAAGAAAATTTACCTAGTTTGATAACAAATTAGACATGAAACATAGTTGAATTACTCGGAAACATAATTTCTTAACTTATTTTTTATAATGTTTACATTAACAAAGTTTTTTGTATCTGGTTAATCCATCTAATAGATGTGCAACATCTATTGGTTAGCCGGCTAAACTATTCTTTTCACGTAATTTTAAATCGTAACCGGTCAAGTGGCCGAAGCTATCCTATATTTATCTGTTGGGGGTCTTGGACGAGTACTAAGGAGTTAGGAGCAATTGCAATATAAGGGATTTGTGTTAAGGAATTAGGGTTGAGAGATATCCAAGGGTTTGGGTTTAAGAATTAGGGTTTAGAGTTTAGGTGATACGTTGTACTAGTTCATGTTTTAAGACTTGAGGGTACATGGTTTACCCGTTTTTCATTAGGTTTATACTCGACCATTTGTTAGATGAGTAAAAGTTTATATGTGACGTTATTTATAATCGTATCCGGCTATGCAAGTTATTACCCATCTAATATGAACTTGTAGTCGGCCAAGTGACTGAAGTTATCCTATATTTATCTGTTAGGGATATTAGATCAGTACTAAGTGTTTCACCATTCGGAAAATTGATTGAGATTGTTGAGAAACCTACTTTAATGATTTAGGGTTTAGGATTGAGATTGAATCGTATCCGGCTATGCTAGTTATTATCTATGTAATATGAATTTGTAGCCGGCCAAGTGACTGAAGCTATCATATATTTATCTGTTGGAGAAATTAGATCATTACTAAGGGTTTCACTATTCAGAAAATTGATTGAGATTGCCGAGAAACATACTTTAATGATCTAGGGTTTAGATTTAATCGTTTCCGACTATACTAGTTATTATCCATGTAATATGAACTTATACCTGACTAAGTGGTTGAAGTTATGCAAATGTAGCAATGATCTTCTGTCAGAGACAAGTGGGAAATCTGAGAAGGCAAAACATCCAATAGACATGACAATTTCATCTTTTTAACACTACTACAGTGACCACGTGCACTCTACTTTGCTTCTCTTTGGTATTCTCCTAATTTTGCAATCTTTCTTTGGTTTTCACCTAAATTGGTCTTCTTTTTTTACATTTGCACTCATGACTGTTTATGTGATTAATCATCATGACTGTTTATGTGATTAATCATTTAAAATTATGGGGTAAATCTAAATATTTTACGCTTTGACCTGTAAGTGTTAATGTGATTAAATTATACAAGTCAGGGACGGGTATATGTATATAAGGTAAAGAATCGGAATCTCTCTCTATCACGGAACCAACTTCTATCGTCAATCACTGCATCCGATTCGATTTCCCTCTCCCTTAGCTAGCTTCTACGGTGGTGAAACATGACGGCTCCGGGATCGGTGCAGAAAGGAGAGGAGGAGTGGCGTGCGGTTCTATCTCCTCAACAGTTTAAGATTCTCCGGCAGAAAGGCACTGAGTAAGCCTTTCTTTCTTCCCCTTATTTCTACGCCGATTCATTAGATATTTTGGGATCGCTTCGTTTGTGCACAACTAGTGTTCTGTTTCATAATCCGGATCATCTTCTTGCAATTATTGTTAAATATTACTTCTGATGATGAAGATTTCATGTTTGGCTGAATCGAGTTTCAAAGTTTGGTATACAAGGATGTATCGTACTGATTTAGCAGCTTCCATGGAAGGTTATACTTCTTCATGGATGCCATCTTTCGTTAGTCTTTAGAGATGAGAGCTTTGATAAATGATATCTGAGTCTGTTTTGCGGATAAAGTGTATTATGTAGGTCAACGTTTAGAACTCTGTTACATTGTCTGATTAAAATTGGTAGCTTCCCTTTTAGGTTATAGAATTTCTCCAGAGATACCAGCTTTTGCGACTTTAAAACTTGAGATGAGAGCTTGTGATAACAGTTAATGGTCTCTAAGTCTCTTTTACCTATAATGCATACGCTGAGAGGTCAACTTTAGAAGTTGCTTGCATTGTGTCTGGTTAGGTTCTGTTCTGTCTCTATGACCATGATAACTTGTCTGCGTTGTCTTGAATATCATATTGAATAAGAGCACTCCAGGCTACGAGATTACCAGAAAAGTTAAAAGATCATTTTTCTTTGTTTATTAATTGTTGTTTGCGTTTTGTTGTGATTTTCAGATATCCAGGAACTGGAGAATATGTGGATTTCAACAAAGAAGGAATCTACGGCTGTGCAGGCTGCAAAACTCCTCTTTACAAATCAACCACAAAGTTCAACGCAGGTTGTGGCTGGCCAGCATTCTTTGATGGAATCCCCGGTGCCATTACTCGAACTGTAAGACACTCTCCAGCACAACACACACATTTTTCATGAAACTGATCAACCAAAAGAAGTTATATACTCTTTGCTGACATTACTATGTTATGCATTATATATGTTACCAGGCAGACCCAGATGGTAGAAGAATAGAGATCAACTGTGCAGCATGCGGTGGACATCTTGGTCATGTTTTCAAAGGAGAAGGTTTTGGTACTCCCACCGATGAACGCCATTGCGTCAACAGCGTCTCTCTTAAGTTCACACCCGCAGAGCCTTCCTTGTAAATCAATCTTTGGCATAAACAGGTTATGCTTTTTATATAAATACTGTTGTGGTGGTTTCTGTTGTATTTTAAAAAGGAAAGAATTATATACATCACCTGGGCATTCTTTTGTCACAACTGTATGATTTGGATCTAAATAAAACCCACCCTTACTATGATTGTTTGTCCATGCCTAGACCGACCTCTAATGAGTAATGATGCTCAAATTATAAACTAAGTTTCTCAAGACATTCATCCAAATTAATCAATGATGTTTTCAGAATTATTTAAAAGTCTCGTGAGCTGAACCGTTTGACCCACCACCAAACGGAAAGTTCGGCCCGTGAAAGCACACTATCCACAATGACACGTGCCAAATATAATCCCTTACTGAACCGGTTACCGGTTTAAACGTCAGCAACAATAAAGATGTCGTCTTCTAAACTTCTACCATCAGAAATCAGAATCCGTCTGTGTGGCTTGTAATGCTTCAATATCAGTGAAGTCTTCAGGTATATCCACAGAAAATAAAATAATACGATAATAAAAAAAAAGAATATTTCTCTCTCTCTCTCTCTCTCTCCCTATACATGTACGTATATAAGAACCATATATATCTGGAGATACACGAGGTGTTCCCTTCTCTGACGACGTGGTTTATTGTCTTCCTTAGCTTTAGTCAATTTGTTCTTCTTGAAACGCAGAGCAGGCTTGTGTTGTTCTGTTAATATTATCCACTTAGTGAATAAAAAAAAAACATTTTGTGTCTTTAGAGCTTATGGGTGACAAAAGTAAATGCCTTTAGGCTCTGTGGTTTCAATCTCGAAATGACAATTAGTACTATGTTGGGGTCCATCTCTTGTTGCCCCTCTCCCAAGGTACTTCCCTCCTTTCTTCTTCTTCGAAGCTTCTCCTTTATGTGAAACCTTTCTGTTGCTGACAGTGATTCTTGTTGTTGAATCTTGGTTCTGATATAGGGGTATGAGGTGGTTAAACAACACAGTACTGGTCGAATCAAGCAGTGTGTTTTCACGGTGAGAGCGTGTGTGCCTGTGTATTCTGAAGGTGTAAGGAGCTATTATGGGAACAAGTTGCATTCTTTTGAGGGTAGAGGTTTAGTTAGAAGAAGGGTTTTTCTGGATTCTTCTAGAAGGTTGTATTTCAGAGGAAGATGGACTGAGTTATTAGGGAGGAGAGTGGAGACTTATGCAGGAGTAGATGTAGCAAGTGCTGTTGATGTCATCAACGATCTTGGTTTCGATACTTTGACGTTCTTGATGGTCACTGTTATCATTGTCCCTGCGTTTAAAGTCCTCAAAGCCAGTCCGGTATTACAAAAATTCTACTTGTGGTTGGTTTATATTCTCTGTTATAATGTTTTGTATTTTTGCTGGTTTTGGTAGATTCTTGGTTTCTTCTTTGCTGGTGTTGTGCTCAATCAATTTGGTTTTATTAGAAATCTTACAGATGTGAAAGTTCTTTCGGAATGGGGGATTCTTTTCCTGGTGAGCATTTGAATAGTAATGTTCATTTTGTTGACATAAAGCTTTATGCATTGAGTTAATGGGTAATAATTTTGGCTTGACCTGGTTATTTTCTTGCAGCTCTTTGAGATGGGTCTAGAGCTTTCACTTGCACGTCTGAAAGCTCTTGCAAAATTTGCTTTTGGCATGGGATTATCTCAGGTATATAGTCCTTACAAAGTTTCCCAAGTTGTCTTAAACCGCTTACATTCCTTTCTGTAACTTCACTTCTGTCTGATAAAACATCTCAAAGACTCGAGAATCTCTAGAACTTGGTTTCATTATGCAACTTTGAAGACTCTGTGTCAGAATTTTCAGATCACTGGATGTCATACATTGTTTGGTTTATTCTGTTATATTTGGGCTATTTTCCATGTTTTGAAGGTTCTGTTGTGCACACTTGCATTCACCGCGTTTGAGCTCCCACCAAATGGTGCCATAGGAACAAGAATTCTTGAATTCCTCTTCCATTCAAGGCCTGACTTGGTAAGGCCTTTCATTTGGCATCTTCTTGAGATCCTCTTGGCAATGTAGTACCTTTCGCTCCATGTATTTCAAATCCTGCAAGTTTAATAGAAGGCTTTTTTTTTCCAATGTGATCATGGTGTAACAACTGCTAATCTCTAATGCTTTATGCTCGAGTTATATCCTAATATGATCTATACTAAAAAAACACAGGTCAACATCAGAAGCATTGATGAGGCAATTGTCATTGGCGCTGCTCTATCATTGTCTTCTTCAGCTTTTGTTCTACAGGTATTAACACAGTTGCAATAGTCATATATCTAAGAAGCCAATCAAAGATTATGTAGACATCTTCTAAATATTGTATTGACAACGAAAAAATGTAACAGCTTCTTGCAGAGAAGGGTGAGCTGCCTACAAGATTTGGTTCAGCAACCTTGGGAATTCTTCTTCTACAGGTTTTGCTTATCCAGTATAACTTCTACCCGATATGTAATTTTGGATTTGGGAAAATAATCTCCTTCTGTGGAAAATTCACCAAAAACATTATGCAAAAATCTCGTGCAAACACCTGACTAGACAAACACTTTCGCTTACTACTATACTCCCTGCCTTGCTTGCAGGATATAGCTGTTGTACCCTTACTAGTTGTTCTTCCAGTGTTGGAGAGCCAGGTACTTTGGCCTGGCTTCTTTTAACTTCTATCAGTGTTAACTTAGACCATTCACATTAATATCTTAATCTCGGTGACTTTGCAAGAATCTTGTTGGGGAAAGCATCTTGCCCATGCTTGCAAAAGAAAGTGCAAAGGCTCTTGGTGGGTTGGGCATCCTCTCCCTTGGAGGAAAGTTCCTTCTCCGTAGAATTTTCGAGGTAACTTCTTTAATGTCTTATTACTTGACATTAATCCCCTTTTTGTATGTGAGTGCTTAACACTAAGCCCAAAACTTTATTCAGGTTGTTGCAGAAACCAGAAGCTCGGAAGCTTTTGTGGCCCTTTGCCTTCTCACAGTTGCTGGGACTTCACTTCTCACTCAAAAGCTTGGTTTTAGTGACACGGTTCGATTTTAGTTTCCCTTTTATATGAAAATGCTATCAAAATCCTCACTCAAATGCCCTGACTCAGCTTTTATTACTCTCAAGCTTGGAGCCTTTCTCGCTGGAGCACTTTTAGCGGAAACAAATTTCCGGACACAAATTGAAGCTGATATTAGGCCATTTAGAGGTTTGCTTCTTGGTTTGTTCTTTGTAACCACAGGAACTTCCATTGACATGGAGGTAAAGTGTTATATTTGCATTGCAGAAAGATTCTAAGCTGTAAAAATTTTAAATGCTCATGCTCTTGTGGTTCAAATCTTTTTGTGCAGGTTCTGTTTAGGGAATGGCCTAACGTCCTCACACTCTTGGCTGGTCTGATTGTGATCAAAACACTGATTATAACCGCACTTGGTCCCAGAGTTGGACTCACGCTGCAAGAAAGCGTAAGAATCGGTTTTCTTCTTTCTCAGGGAGGAGAATTCGCATTCGTTGTCTTCTCTCTAGCCAACAGGTCTCTTTTCTTTCTATCTGCCATTATCATAACTCAAAACATATCCAAAAGATTCCACTTTTGTTTTCTAGTTATGTGCTTATGATTGTTACAACCATATCTACAGGCTAGGAGTGCTTCCACTTGAGCTGAACAAGCTTCTCATAATCGTAGTTGTTTTGTCAATGGCGTTAACACCTACGCTTAACCAACTTGGAAGAAAGGCAGCTGACTTTATTGATGAGAAACTTGGTAACGAAGAGGTAAACTTCATAAGTTTCTAATACTGCGCTTAGAGGTAAAAACAATAAGCTGATATGGACATGTTCTGCAGAATGTAGATGAAGAAGTGAACTTCGACGTTAGTGAATCAATTGTCATCATTGGATTTGGACAAATGGGTCAGGTAAAAAGTTTTATCATTTTCCATTTCTCTCCTAGAAAAAGTTAAAGTTGTGCTTAAGTGGTTTCATATTGAGTTTTCAGGTGCTGGCGAACTTTTTGTCAACGCCATTGGTATCAGGAGTAGATAGTGATCTCGTGGGATGGCCTTATATTGGTTTTGATCTAAACCCTGCTGTAGTCAAGGTCTGAAACAGCTTAACAGAGATTTTTGTTTGTTGACATATTATTTTAATATGTTGTGGTTTTGTGGCAGGAATCGAGGAAACAAGGTTTCCCCATATTGTATGGAGATGGATCCAGGCCATCTGTTTTGCAATCTGCAGGTGTTTCATCTCCTAAAGCAATCATGATAATGTATAAAGGCAAGAAGAGAACCACTGAAGCTGTTCAAAGACTCCGTCTTGCCTTCCCTGCGGTTATTTCACTACTCTTCCTTCTTCATGATAATGATAATGGTTAGCTTTGGACTTAAACTGTGATTGGTTGGTTTTAACTTGTGATTACCAGACTAAAATATATTCAAGAGCTCAAGACTTACCGCATCTTCTTGAACTAAAGAAAGCAGGAGCAACTGATGCAATTCTTGAAAATGCAGAGGTAATCTCATTTTGAATCTTGATTACTGAGAGTTTAGGCCTGAACGTGAGTTTTGTTTTGTTTTGTTGGTTCACAGACAAGTTTACAGCTTGGTTCGAAGATGTTGAGAGGGTTTGGAGTAATGTCTGATGACGTGAGCTTTCTGAGTAGAGTTTTTAGAGATTCAATGGAGATTCAAGCTCAAGATGAAATCACTGCTGCTGAAACCAATGCCGCTGCTGCTGCTGCTTCACAAGTTCTGATGAAACCGATGCGAATGAAAGCTTCTGATACTGCAGAACTCCAGTACATTGAACCAGTGCAAGTGGAAGCTTCTGATTCAAACGCAGACTCTGGAGAAGTTCTTCAAGAAACAGATAATGGTTTGAGTCAGCCTGAGACTGATAATGGGTTTGTTGGTAAAGCTGAGAAAGCTCAAGAGTAAACAAAGAAAAAAGATTTGATGCTCCCACATTCTAACAATTTTTTTTGGTTTTATGAAATGTGCAGTAAATCTTTCAAAACAAATTATTATTAAAAAACTTGTTAGATATTATCCATATTGCTTTGTTTATTATTTTCCTTTGGAAAATATCTTAGTCTTAACCGACTAAGTGTTACTATAAATAGAGGTCATATGCTCTTGTTGTAAGAGATAGATAAACAAATGAATTAATCTAATAACCTTTGCTCTCTTTCTCTTTCGTATAAAACAACAATACAAAGAGTAG